CCCAGCTTATCTGTTTCTAAAGATCACTAAAACTCTTTATTCGGATACTCCATCTTCTATTTATTCCGCACTTGTTAAGGTCCTAAATCTCAACATATTAATATAATCAAGAAAAGACAAAAGCATGATACTGCTGAGAAAGATATTTTAATTCAACAAAAACATCACCGGAGGTGAACTGTTGGAAGAATCTTGATCCGGCTCCAAAAATTCAGAAAACTTTTCCGGTACACATCTTGTGAAAATCGAGAATCGAGAGCTCCAATCAGAAGAAACTAGACAAAATTCAACTCAACTCAATCAGCTAACAAAACTCGAATTCAGTAAAACGAGACTAATAGCAGGAAAAGGAAGTGAAAACTCACGCGAAGGATTCGAACAACGAACAGAACCTCCATCAATCCGCGGCGGTAAACGAGCAAACAGCCCCAAAGTTGACTGATGACGAGAAGAGATAGAAGTAGGGAACTCCAATCGAGAGCGATGAACCCGATAAAACCGATGAATCTGCAAATTCTCCCCAGAAATGGTAGAACTCAAATTCATTCTCATTGTGAAATTCCTATTTTTTTCCTTTTACCCGACGAGAAATCGAGCGATGAACGGCTTGCGATTATGAAAATTGTTTTGAAGAAAATTACGGGCAGAGTTCACAAATTTAGTAATATTGTAACTGTTAAAAACATCTCCAAAATTTTCTGCCGTTTAAAATGGAACTTATCGTGAAACTCTTCTTTCAATATACGTTTTTTTTGTAAGTTCATTAAATTATTTATAGCCAGGGGTCCACACTTCTTAATAAGACCAATCTCAACATTTTTAGGTCAAACACTTATTTTTTAAAAAATTAATAATATTTTAACCCCGTAAATATTTAAAATTCCAATGCTATGAAATTTTAGTTATTAATACAACAGCGAATAGAGCGTTGAAGTTGGATTCGGTTGTGAACTTTGTTCGGGTTACGAACCAACCAACATTTTTGGATTGGTCCAAGATTTTTCCGACTCAACCCAACTCAATTTGTGTACACGCCTACTTATAACTCCCGGTCCACACACTTGCTCGTGGGTCCACTATGTAGGTTCGTTAGCGTGATATCTAACCCTGACTGTGTGGTCGAAACTAACGTAAAATAAAGGAGCACAGACAACATTGCGAGTGTACGTATTTGCTTATTCCATAATTGAAGAATTAATCTATGATTATATCAGTATGCATGAGATTTCACATTTAAAATTATAGTTAGTGAGATGATGCACATGACTTCAATTCATTGCGAGACGAATACACATTTTTATGGTATTTAAAATCATACTTGCAACATATTTTATGTCATGGTATCTTGTAAATTTTATTCATGGTCATAGCAGTCATGAACGGATATATATGGAAGCATATGCACCTAATAATCTGAGACAATGAAAATATATTAATCCATATAAAATAGTAGTTGAACTAACACATGTGTTAGGATCGTACAACAACGCACACACTCTAGATGAACACAAAGAACAGGATAAAGAAAATGCAATGAGAATATTGGCTGAAGGTTTTGTATTGATGACTACAGATACGTAAGTAAAAGAGAATATAGAGAATATAGGAAGTACATCTTTAAAACTCTATATGAGAGGATATATATAGTTAGCTTACTTGGTTTACTATATATATATATATATAACTATTTACTATATATAACTATCTACCGTTTTACCGTATATAACCATCTACTATATATATAAAATTTACCGTATATATAACTTATAACTTTTTACCTATTTACTGTTATGACAATTTATTTTATATGTTATTTACTAAATATAGATTTACTATGTATAACCGTCGACTAAGTTATAAGCAGCATAACCTAGCCATTCTCCCATTTGGAGACTGATCTAGTCAACCAAGAATTTCATTCTCAAATGACCATGAGCATCTTCATGGCACCATACCAATTGAGGCTTTGCACAACCTCAATATTTCAACATCAACACATTTTGTCAACATATTTGCTAGATTCTTTGCACCTTCTATCTTCTCAAAACACATCACCATCTTCCACTAACTTGCAAGTGAAATGGTATCGCTTTCCGTGTTTTATCTTTAAATGATAGACCGGGTTCCTCACCAACTGTATGACACTCTGAGTATCTCTATAAAGAATCTTTTCGTGCTGCTTCTTGCCCAATTCTTCCAGATAGTCAGTCATTCATATCGCCTCCTTTCCAACTTTAGCTATTGCCACGTACTCAGCTACAGTACAACGCATTTTTGAAGCCTAGGCATCCCATCATCCATGGCTTGCTCCCACTTGGTTGTATCCTCCAACTATAGGGCCTCGTCAAAGGGCTCTGGTTCCCTTTCATCAGTAACAGATAGTGTAATAAAGGTACATACATATCTGGTACTCTGATAGTACTGGATGATCTTTTCAACACCAGTTCAAGTGTCACTTGCTCTATCGCTAGTTCCTGTGCAACATTCTTAGGAGTTTCTTGAGTATCTGCTACAACATCACCAGGTGATTTTTTCTGCAACTCAACCTCAACTCCCACTTGATTCGTTGTCTTGGAACCTTGCTTCACATCTGATTTCTCAACAGTAGTCTCAGGAGTTTCATGAGTATCTGCTACAACATCACTAGGTGAGTTTCCCTGCAATGCAAACTCAACTCCCACTTGCTTCGTTATCTTGGACCCTTGCTTCACATCTGGTTCCTCAGTAGTAGTCTTAGGAGTTTCATGAGTATCTGCTACAACATTATTAGGGGAGTTTCCCTGCAACTCAAGCTCAACTCCCACTTGCTTAGTGGTTTTGGAACCTTGCTCCACGTCTGTATGAACAATTTTCAACTGCACTTTCTTCAATTCACTGGTAGTCCTTGTGAAGCTAACTTGTTTCTGCTTGCTCATAACGCAATTCTCACAACGACCCACATCAACAGATTTCAGACCTTCTAAAACTTCTTTCGTAGCCAGCATCTTCATTCCTTTCACGCTCATATGTCCAAGTCTATTGTGCCATAGACTTGACTTTGAAGCACTCTCAGCAACAGCAGCTATGTTCATACACCCTGCAGTGGTGTATAAGGTTCCAGATTTTGTGTCACGTGCTACCACCATAGCACCCTTCGTAATCTTCCACGAACTCTTCCCTAACTCTGTTGCATAACCTGTGTTGTCCAACTGACCAATAGAGATCAGGTTTTTCTTGAGGCCAGAAATATATGTAACATCCTTTAATGTCCACTGATTTCCTGCTGAAGTTTTTATGTAGGCATCTCCTTTTCCTTTAATCTCAAAATCTTTGTTGTCGGCAAGATACACCTTCTCGAAATTTCCATATTTGAAATTTCGGAACAACTCTTTATTTGAAGACGAATGAAAAGATGCATCAGAATCCAAAATCCAAGATTCAATTAAACTGTCCACGCTGAGGATTAGAGCATCTCAATGTCTTCTGCTGAATTTATAGGATCATCATCACTTCCAGATTTGTGATTCTGCTTCCTCTTTGGTCTTGTACAATCTGTCAGAAAGTGACATTTTTCTCCACAATTCTAACACGTTATGTTTGGTTTATTTGAAGATTTTTCTCAGTTCTTTGATTTTGATCGCCCTTTGTTTGGGCCTTTCGATTTACTTCTTCCCTGTTGGTAAACACTGAGAGCACTACTAGATGAATTTCCAATTTCTCGTTTGCGAATATTTTCGCTGAGAACTATATCTCGAATTTCATCAAAATTCACTTTATCAAATCCTCGAAAACTGCTGATTGCGGCAACAACAATATCCCACGACTCGGGTAAAGATGACATCAAAATCAATGCTTTAATTTCATCCTTGAAATTAATTTCCACCGAACTCAGTTGACTTACGATCATATTGAATTCATTCATATGATCAACAACAGATTCACCTTCAGACATTTGTAGATTGAACAATCTTCGCATCAAATACATCTTCAATAGATTTGACATCGTCTTCTCCTTGATGATGTTGAATGCCACGTTTCTGGATAGCGTCAATCAGATCAGCCCTAAGGCTTGTCGATGCTTGAGCTTCCACTGCTCCGTGGTCATGGTATTTGACTTCACTCCCAACTGGGGTTTGTGAAGATCTTTCTGGTACAGATAATCTTCAATCTGCATCTTCTAGAAACCGAAACAAAGTCGAGTCACTTAGGTCAAATGAGCCAACGAGGAGCTGTCGAGTCCATGAAGTCGAGCAATAAATGATCGACTAGGTGGAGACAACCCTGAGCTATCGTCTAGTGGATGACTCAAAGAAGTCGAACAATGTGTTGTGTGAGAAGATGACTTAGAGGGCTAAGTCGTATAGACATTAGACTGGCTCGAGAAGTGGGTCACATGCTTAAGGCCTAACTGGTGTTCGTGTTTAGTTGCGTCTTGTGGTATTGGTTAGCTTGGGCCAACATATCAATCGAAAGAAATAGATTATCACTTGAAAGAAATTGAGTTTTGTCCATGGCCAACCTCTCTTACTTGCTTCCCTATTAGATAGACATTTACTATTCTTGTTGTGTTAAATATCAGAGTTCATATCACCAAAATCATCTCTACACCTCCCATGACTAAAATACCCTTAAATGTATTGTATGGAGTATGATTAGTTATCAATTCTTCATACCCAGATTATATGCTATCAAAATTGTGGTGGTTGCTTATTCGCTTTTAGCGTGCAACATTGATTTTTTTCAACTTATTTCCTCATTCATATTTTCTAAAAATATTTCTATCAAACGTGATCCGAGACTCGAGCATACACAAATATTGTCCGCGAAGTCCAAACTTCACACGACTGAGTTCTCTAGGTTAAGAACAAGTGCTACCCAATCGCTATTCCGTTTTTGTTGCAAGAGTGCGATCGTGACGCTATGCTCACGTTAGCACATTTGTTTAAGTTTTTAAATAAAACAAAACTTGCTTTTTCTTCCTAAATTTAATATATATATATTATATATTTTAATAAAAAAAGGGTTCAAATTTCTTATTTTTGTTTCTGGTGTGGAGGAAGATACCTACGCGCTCATTGGTAACAATGTATTTTCCTTTCATCAATGGTTTCTCAATTTTGTAGAAGCAATGATAAGAATAAGATTGCATAAACAAACAAATTCTATCTTCTTCTCTGCTAATTCCAATTCATTTGTTTGATTCTTCTAAGCTTTCTTTCATATGCTCAGCTCGCCATTTTTGTACCTCCAAATGATAAGATGGCAAAGCAGGCGAATTCTGTTTTCCTCGAAGAATGGTTGAAGAGCATCAGCGGTATAAGCAGTGGTTTTAACTCCAAAATCAGTTCCTCGTCTGCTCGAGAAATTATCCAAGCATGGGCTGAGCTTAGAAGCAGTTTGGAGCATCGATTGTTTGATGATCGCCACATTCAATCTCTCAAAACTCTCGTTAACTCTCAATCGTCACTCTATGTTGCTGACCCACAAGCTAAGCTGGTTGTTTCTATACTATCTTCTCCGAACTTATCTCTTCCTGATGAATCGTATCCTCTTTTCCTGAGGATTCTTTATATCTGGGTTAGAAAATCTCTCCGGCCCTCTTTAGTTCTTGTCGATTCATCCGTTGAGGTTCTCTCGCAAATTTTTTCTTCCAAAATTGGATTGAGGAAGAATCCTTTGTTCATCTCGGAAGGGGTTTTGATTCTTGGTGCTATTTCGTATGTAGTTTCAGCTTCTGAAAAATCCAAATTATGCTGTTTGGAGTTGCTTTGCAGGATCTTGGAAGAAGAAGAATGGCTACTGATTGGATCAGTTGGAGGTACAGTTCCAGAATTTTTTGCTGGGATTGGTTATGCTTTATCTTCATCACTGAATGCTCATGTTGTTAGACTGTTAGATTCTTTATTAGGAATTTGGGGTAAGATAGGTAGCCCTACTGGTAATCTTTCTACTGGGCTAATGATTTTGCACTTGATTGAATGGGTGACTTCTGGTCTGATTAGTCTTCATTCATTCAAGAAATTAAATTTTTTAAGCCAAACTGCTTTAGAATCTTCAAAAGAAAGCTACGCTTCATTTGCTGTTGTTATGGCTGCTGCTGGAATATTGAGGGCTTTTAATTCTTACAAAGCCTTGTTGAGTAGTTCAGAAAGAGAAACAATATCAAGAATAAGAATTTCAGCCCAGGATTGCTTAGAATCTATAGCTAAGAATTTTATTTCCACTATGGAAGGATCTTCAATTACAGGCAATGATGATCATGGAAGGAGCCTGCTTCTATTGTGTATTTCATTGGCAGTAGCACGTTGTGGTCCTGTGGCATCTCGCCCGCCTGTGCTCATTTGCGTTACTTATGCTTTGTTGACTGAAATATTTCCTTTGCAGCGTTTATATGCCAAACTTCTCAAATTCTCGTTTGGTGAGTCGGGTGTGTTGGGGCTTACTCTAGTGAAAGAGCATCTGGATAGTATTCCGTTTAAGGAAGCAGGGGTAATTGCTGGTGTTCTTTGCAGTCAGTATGCTTCAATTGATGAAGATGACAAAAAATTTGTAGAGAATCTTGTCTGGGATTACTGTCAAGACATCTACTCAAGGCACCGACGAGTCGGTTTGGTGCTTCGTCATAGAGAGGATGAATTACTAGAGAATATAGAAAAAATTGCAGAGTCTGCTTTCCTCATGGTTGTAGTTTTTGCATTAGCTGTCACAAAAGAAAAGTTAAATTCCAAATATACACCGGAAACACAGTTTGATGTATCAGTAAGAATACTCGATTCATTCTCTTGTATGGAATACTTTCGGCGTATTCGCATGCCCGAATATATGGATACTATCCGAGGAGTTGTTGCAAGCGTTCAAGAGAATGAGTCTGCCTGTGTCTCTTTCATTGAATCAATGCCCTCATACCAAGATCAAACACATGGGCCAGGTATTGGTTTCAAATTATTTTACTTCGCCATGAAAATTAATTATTTGGGTTCTTATGCTAATATTGTTCTATGCTTTAAGAGGATTTGAAAATTGAAATTCATTGTTTTTTAGATAGCTCTATTGGGCAGAAATTACAATATACATGGACCGAAGATGAGGTGCAAACTGCACGTATGTTGTTTTATATACGAGTCATTCCAACGTGCATTGAGCGTGTTCCTACCCAAGTATACAGGAAGGTGGTAGCTCCAACAATGTTTTTGTATCCTGTTCTAGTGAATGCATTCTCACGAATTCTGCTTTCTTTATTCTTATTTTTTCTCGTGAACTATATTTTACTTCCTATTACCAAGTCGATTAGATATATGGGACATCCAAATGCCAAAGTAGCCCGAGCTTCACACTCGGTGTTTATAGCTTTCATATCAGGGAAGGACGACGACGAAGATGGAAATAGAGTGATGTTGAAGGAGGAGCTTGTTTTCTACTACATTGAGAGATCTTTATCAGTATCACTCTCAACTTGAGACTTTTTTCTTTATTTGTTCAACAAACTTTAGCTTTATAAATTGAGTTAGATGTTGAGTTTTCAACTTCTATGATTTTAGGGATATCCTGGCATTACACCATTTGAAGGTATGGCTTCAGGAGTTGCAGCTTTGGTTCGATATCTTCCTGCTGGAAGTCCATCCATTTTTTATTGTATCGACAGTTTGACTGTAAAAGCTACAAGCCTTTGCAGTGAAAACTTCATGGATGATGCTGATCTGTGGAAGACATGGCAAGGAGACTTGGAGCCTTCCAAGAAAATTTTAGACATGCTTCTACGGCTCATCTCTCTTGTTGATATACAGGTAATATACTACTTTGTATAACTTAAGAGGCTTGTTCTTCCATATTTAGTGTGAGATCTCACATCGATTGGAGAGGGGAACGAAACATTCCTTATAAGCGTGTGGAAACCTCTCCCTAGTAGACGCCTTTTAAAACTATTAGGCTGACGGCGATACGTAACGGGCCAAAGCGGACAATATCTGCTAACAGTGGGCTTGAGCTGTTACAAATGGTATCAGAGCTAGACACCGGCGGTGTGCCAGCAAGGACGCTGGGCCTCCAAGAGGGGTAGATTGTGAGATCCCACATCGGTTGTAGAGGGGAACGACACATTCCTTATAAGGGTGTGGAAACCTCTCCCTGGTAGACACATTTTAAAACCGTGAGGCTGACGGCGATGCGTAACGGGCCAAAACGGACAATTTCTGCTAGCCGGGCTTGAGCAGTTACATTTAGTGCTGAATTTATTTTCTATTCTTTCTCTTTGAACAACATATTAGCTTATCTTGTAAATGAAATGTTAATTCACGAAATTAATCATGCAGGCAAGATATTATTCAATTAGATGTTGGGTGACTTACTGGCAAATTTACTTCTTTGATGTACTTCAATTAGTAGTTAATGATGAACTAATTACTTATATACTTGAATTTCTATCTGATTTTCTTTTGTTTGGATTTTACATCTGGCTATTTTAGGTACTCCCAAGCTTGATGACGAATTTAGCACAACTGGTCATCAAGTTACCCTCAGAAGGCCAAAACATGGTTCTTGATCAGTTATACTCCCTGGTTTCAGAAGCTGATGATGTTACACGCAAACCCTTGTTAGTCTCATGGCTACAATCATTATCTTATCTTTGTTCACAATCGAGGAGTGCCGATGCTCACTCCAACGAGAAGCAAACTACACGGCTTTCAAATTTTGCATGGATTGTTGACCCATTGAACCGTATTCGATCCTATGCACGACTTTGAGGTATGAGTTTTTAATTCTTGGTTTGATTTTCTCCTTCCATGTCAATAATGTTAAGTTTATTGCATATGCTGTACATATAAGATTTTCCTTATGCTTTTATCTTAGTTGTGTTTATCATTTGGAAGCTGTGTATTTTTGTTTAAAGAAGCAACAAATTATGGTTGAGATGCATGTATTTTGTTTATTTGGAAGCTGTGTACTGTGTGCGAAGTTTTCATAGACATATTAGAAGGCTTAGAAGACGGATGGTGTAAAATAAATATTAGTACTATAAACCTGAAGATTCTTATTGGATGACTCAAATTACTAATTTCAAGTCCAATAATCATAACCACCTAGGGGCTTATGAAAGCCATATTAGAAACAGAAACATTTTCTTTAGACATTTTCTTTCCAGTTCTCATGATGGTTAGAGCCGCATTGGAACAGTTTAAGCCCACCGCTAGAAGATATTGTCCTCTTTGGGCTTTCCCTTTCGAGTTTCCTCTCAAAGTTTTTAAAACGCATGTACTATGGAGAGGTTTTCACATCTCGTTCTCCTTCTCAGCCGATGTGGGATCTCACAATCCATCCCCTTTGGGGGTCCAGTGTCCTCGCTGATACTTGTTCTTCTCTCTAATTGATGTGGGACCCCCCAATCCACCTTCATTCGGGGTCTAGTGTCCTCGCTGGTACACCGCTTGGTGTCCACTCCCCTTCGGGACTCAACGTTCTCGCTGGCACACCGCCCGGTGTCTGGCTATGATATTATTTGTAACAGCCCAAGTCCACTGTTAGCAAATATTGTCTTCTTTAGGCTTTCTCTTTCGGGCTTTCCCTCAAGATTTTTAAAATGCGTCTACTAGGGAGAGATTTCCACATCCTTATAAAGAATGCTTCGTTCTCCTCCTCAACCGATGTGGGATCTCACACACAGTTTATAAAACATGTTTTATATCAAACATGTTTTATATCATGTATAATACTGATGACACAACTATTTTCAGCCCAAATGATAAGGGCGTGCTGGAAAATTAAATATTCTCTTAAACGCCTCTTAGTTATACATCAACCTCTTGGAAACAGGTACCTAAACACAAAAAATGAGGAAGTTGGTGGATGGGCTACCTTTTCTGGTGTATAATTTTTGCCTTTTAACAATCTCTGGCATTCATCCAGAGGATGATCCTAAAGGGAGCCCATTTTGGGACAAGTTCGAGGCTTAATTAGTTGAATGGAGTGTTCATATCTAAAGGTGGAAGGCTTAGATTTGCTCAATCTACTCTATCAAGTAAGCCTAAAGAAACAAGGACAGCTGCCCTTTACCTAAAATTCCTAAATATGATGAGTAGTTTGGTCGTTTCCTCAGGTTTAAGCTAGAAAATAGGCTGTAAATCAGAATTTAAAAGGATTACTGGCTTTGTGTTAGAATTTGTGTTATCTCCAACCAAAAAGACTACTTGCGAGTTACTGCTGGAACTCTGAACATGATAACTAGGATTTGGGACAGATTACAATAAAGAATCTCGTTGGACTCTCTCCTTTTGGTTGCTTGTAACGACTCAAGCCCACTGCTAGGAAGAATTTAGTAGGTATTGTCCTCTTTAAGCTTTCCCTTTCGGGGTTCCCCTCAAGATTTTTATAATGTGTGTGCTAGGAAGAGGTTTCCAGACCGTTATAAAGAATATTCTGTTCTCCTCAACCAATGTGGGATCTCACAATTCACCTTCCTTTGGGGCTCAGCGTCCTCGCTGGAACTCGTTCCCTTCTCCAATCGATGTGGGACCCCCCAATCCACTCTCCTTCGGGGCTCAGCGTCCTTACTGACACACTGCCTCATATCCACCCCTTTCGGGACTTAGCCTCCTCGCTGACATATCGTCTGGTGTCTGACTCTGATGCCATTTGTAACAACCTAAGTCCACTGCTGCTTTCCATTTCGGGTTTCCCTTCATGGTTTTTAAAATGCGTTTGCTAGGAAGAGGTTTCACACCCTTATAAAGAATATTTTGTTCTCCTCCCCAACTGACGTGGGATCTCACACACATTCTAAGGATGATGCAACTACAGATTACTTTTTCCCTATTTTTCTCCTGCGGCTAGGGAGTACTCCTTCCTTTTGGATAAGTTTAATCCATGAGTAGCTTCCAGAAGCTCTTCCAGGTTGCTGGCTGGACGGTATATAAATATGTGGAAAACTGTGACTGTTGTTCTTATGGATTGATAAAAATCAGACAATTACAAGCTGTTGGGAACTTAAAAATGGTCATAACTCATAACTCTATAGCCTGTTTCCATACAATGGCATGAACTGATGATGACAAACTTGTGCTGGACTTCCAACTAGTTGATGAAACTCCTACTGAAATATCACTGTGCTGCTTCTGTATTTATTCATAGTCGGTAGAACTGAAACTAGAACTAAACCCCGCCCCCGCCCGTGTTTTGATGTCGTAACTTCACTCAATCTTACTGTGTGTTTGTATTTATTTACGTAGGTGTTGTCACCGAACGACCAACTTATTTAAAAGAGAACGGTTTCGAGAGCTAGCCGTACTAGAAGGACCAAGCCATGACAAACAAGAAGCTCGTCGACTCAGCTCCAACATAATTACTCTCATGCTATCACATCATTTACTCGTTTAGGTATCGGTAGCAATCATCGATACGAGAATGATGCATTGTAGTTGTAGCTGATCTTTTGTTACCATGATATTTACAATTAATTTCATAGCATCATTTTCTTTTATTTATTTATTTGAGTTAACTTTCTTCAATTTTAAATCTTTACATTTTATGTTATTAAATAATAAATAAAAAATTATTTAAATTTAATAATTCAATATTTCCACGTATATTTAATTAATCTACGTGGATAAAAAATCGAAATGTAATTATTCCTTCTATTTGAAGCTTTTCCATTCAATATTAAATGCAGGAACATTGAATCACATGGCTGTTCATTATTATTATTGTTATTATTATTGCTTTCATTAAATTACATGTTTTTCAACCAATAATATAAATTACTATTTTTGTTTCTGTATTTCTTCAAATATTCAAATTTAATAATTAATTTTTAATTTTTAATAAGTTGTCATATATATATATATATATATATATGAATAATTCATATACCTATAATATTTATTCACTATTTAAAGTGCCACATAGATTTTATGTAAATCAAAGATTGAAATTGATGCTTAATTAATATTAACTATAAGGTTATTGAACATAATTGAATTATTTGTTTTTTAATCTTATTAAGTGTCTAATTCTATTAAGGAAAATAATAATAATAATAATTTATAACTTAATTCAGGAATAATTAGTCTTATTATTCTAAATAATATATATATTTTTTAAAATTAAAAATATTTATTTGTTTATTAATTATTCTGAAATAATTTTAAAATATTTAAAATTAAAAAAATGATTTATTAAGCGAAGTAGTAAAGCGTGAGGCCGAAGTCTTCAAAATGGAGACTATTACCGACACTCTAAATTGTCATCTCCTTAATCCAACGGCTGATACCTATCTTCCTCCTAAATCTGAATCTCCACCGTCCGATCATATCACCCTCCAAAATGCACGTTCCCCTTCGTTATCAATCGTCTTCCTCAACTCTCCTTCTTCTTCTTCTTCTTCATCTTCCAGATCCGATCTCGCTCTTCCTTTCTCTCTCTAAAAACCTGCAACTCTCTGGAGAGAGAAATTTGTAGCTCCTTCTCTCTCTCTCTTCCTCTTTGGCCATGGTGGAGGCTCAGACATGGACCACTCGCCGAATGAGCAACCCTCGCCTCGATGCCTCCGCCGCCGCGGACCAGGCTATCGATATTCCAATGACGCCGCCCAGTGACGCCCGCAACAGTGCGGCTGGTTTTCCGATCGGATCCTACCTCTCGCCGAACGTTTTGACGGTGGTAACTATACTCTCATGGTACTTCTCCAACATTGGCGTTCTTCTTCTCAACAAATATCTTCTGAGCTTTTATGGCTACCGGTACCCTATCTTCCTCACGATGCTTCATATGCTTGCCTGTGCGGCTTATAGCTATATATCGATTAATTTTCTTGAGATTGTTCCGTTGCAGCACATTCTTTCTCGTAAACAGTTTTTTAAAATCTTTGCTCTCAGCGCCATTTTCTCCTTCTCTGTTGTTTGTGGGAATACGTCTCTTCGTTACCTTCCGGTTTCGTTTAACCAAGCCATTGGTGCTACGACACCGTTTTTCACTGCCATTTTTGCCTTTTTGATTACTTGTAAGAAGGAGTCTGCTGAGGTTTATCTTGCGCTCTTGCCTGTGGTGTTTGGGATTGTTTTGGCTAGTAATAGTGAGCCATTGTTTCATTTCTTTGGGTTTTTGGTGTGTGTTGGCTCTACGGCTGGACGGGCGTTGAAATCTGTGGTTCAGGGGATTTTGTTGACCTCAGAGGCGGAGAAACTTCACTCTATGAATTTGTTGTTGTACATGGCTCCGATGGCTGCTATGATTTTGCTACCTTTTAGCCTTTATATTGAAGGGAATGTAGCTGCCATTACTGTCGAGAAAGCTCGAGGGAATTCGTTTATTGTATTCTTGTTGCTTGGCAATGCTACGGTGGCTTATTTAGTGAATTTGACCAATTTCTTGGTGACCAAGCACACCAGTGCGCTCACATTGCAGGTGCTTGGGAATGCAAAGGCCGCAGTGGCGGCTGTTGTCTCTGTTTTGATCTTCAGAAACCCAGTTACGGTGATGGGCATGGCAGGATTTGCTGTGACTATCATGGGTGTGGTGCTTTACAGTGAGGCGAAGAAGAGGTCCAAAGTGACAACCCATTGAAGATAAGATAAGATCTCGATTAACTTTATGTGGATCGATCTCTATGGAAATAAGGGTGCGTCCATTTTCTTTGATTTATTGCTTTTCTGGCTAAATCTTTCAAAGTAGAGAATGGAATGTATATGATTTAGGAAGAAAAGGAAAAGCTTATTGATCTCTTCCTTTCTTCTTTGAGTTCTTCTCGATTGGAGTGGTCATCATTGGGAGTGAATTTCCTCTCCTTTTGGCCTTGCTGTATCTTTGTGTACTTTTGCTGCATCCTGGGTTTCCCAGATGATTCAAATATATAATGTTCAATTTGATTTCGTGGGGAGGGAAATAAATTTCTTCTCCCTACCTCCATTTCGTTGAAAAAAAATCTCTTGAAGGGTTACCTGAAAGGTCTCTAATTATTGTCACTTAGTTAAACTTGCGTAGTTTCAGAAAGGCTCAGTCAAAGAATGCCAAGTGAAGGCAAAAATAGCACACACCAAATCACATATTGTCAATATTAATTACTTTGTTGCCATTATTTCAAATGACCATCTGTTTTCTGGTTGTCTACTTTATTGTCACATGCTGTGATTCTTCACCTTTCTATTTATTTCCTTGTTTCAGGGGAAGCGACTCCTGGTAAGTGTACCTTGTTCAACCAATTTTTGTTGCGTTTATACTTAATAGATGGTTTGGACAATTAAATTCTTGAGAAATTTCCAATGAAATGCTTTGGTTCTTGGGATTTTTCTGTAGCGTAGTGATATTATTGTACTAATAGTCTTGTTTACTCTGGTTGAACCCTTATGGCTGTTATGATCAGTTGGTTCCTACAAATGCATTCAAAGTATGGATAGATTTTTAAATATCAAAAGGGTTTTGTACATAATCTGATTACTCTGTCTCTTAGAACGCATACTTGTGTTCTTTTGAGTCAAGGAGTCACGATTAGCAACATATTAGATGTATGAGAGATGCTACAAAAGTACTTCGAATTTGTATATTGTGGTTATTAGGGACATGCTGATCTTTCAATCCACACCGTGACGGTCTACTCAATGTCGTTGTTACACTAAAGCTTATTATTATCCATCTTGAAGTCGTATATTGCAAGTAAACTTCTCTGTATAGATCTTTGTTGAGAAAAATCATGAACTTGGCTTAATCTTTGGACTGAATGATTGATTTGGATAATGTGAATGATGTATTGGACTGAATTATTTGGATTCTGCATGGTTGCTTGAGATATGGAGATCTCTTTCATTCTCATCTTCTGTCATCATTTGTTGTATGCTATGGGTGAAAATGATTCAATGCCTAACCCCTACCTTCAACCTTGAACAAACCAAATCCACTGTGACCTAACCTTGTTGCTTTGTTCTTGGATTACTTCTTGATGACTCGTGAAATTCAAATCTTCTTATTCTGATCGTTAAATAAACTATTTTATTCTTTATTGTTAATCTTTTATACATCCCTCTTGACCGAGCTAGATTCATTATGGTTTCCAACTTTATATATATATATATATATATACATGAAGTTTGACTAAATTTATGGATCAAAATTTAAATTAATTTTAAATAAGAGATTTGATTTTGAAAATGCATTGTCTCCATCAATAAAGATAAATTGACATGTGGGTTTATGCCTTTTTATTTAAATAATAATAATAATAATGAAAAATTGTGACTTTGATAAAGAAAGATTAATGTTTTATAGCCAAGCATGTTATAATAGTATCTCTTTTTTTCTAAAGATAAGAAAAGATTCAAAATTATAATTATTTTCAATTTAAAAAAATTATATAATCGTATTTCCTTAAATTATTATGTTATCAAAATAAATAAAATTAGTGTATTATAAATTTAAGATTGTTCTTATCTACTACCCTTTAAATTTAAAATAAATTAAAATTAATGAGTGAGATTTATGGTGTTATTGACAATAAAATAAAAAGGGTGAACATTATTATGATGTATTAAAGAACAAATTAAACGTTACGTAACCTTTTTATAATTATAATGTTTTATAATGTTTTGATTTCCACTCTCAACTTAGAATATTATATTCGTAAGAAAATTATGTTCTTATGAATTTAGAATAATAGAAAAAATGACATTCTTTAAAGATTTTATTCGAGAAAAAATTAACTTGCGGTCGTGAATTTTGATTTAGGTTGCATTTTGATCGATAGATTTTTCAAATTTAATAAAATTTGCATTTGGTAGTATATTCTTAGTCTCTCTATCTTTCGTTTTACTAATCATTAAGATAAGTTGAGGTAATATCCGTTTTAAAAATAAATAAATTAATTGGGCTCAAAAGTCCGACTCTAAAGTTAACAAGGCCCAAGTCCAATAGTTGGGCCAAAAGCTATTAAAGTACTTGCACACATGCTCGTGAAAAACTATATAAATATGGAAGCTCTCTTTCATTTAAAAAGTTCAAAATTTAAAAGGGATGATAAGACTCGTGACCTATTAACTTCGAAAATTAAAAATCTTTTGAATATTTGAATATCTCAAGGCTTTTTAATAAGTTAATGATCGATCTCGAGAATAAGCAAATTTACATTCGAGAACAAGTCACAAAACCCTCGAGACAAATTAACGTTCGAGAACAAGTTGCAAAACCTTCGAACTAATTTTAGTATATTTGAGAACGAGTGGAAAGCTCTCAAGACAAATGAATGTTAAGTTGCAAAACCTCCCAAGTAATTATGAATTTGAGACGAGTAATAAAGCGATCAAACATTTATTCAAAATCAATTCAGCACTGATTATTTTTTAAATAATCACGACACATTCGGACGTACTTCCTATATAAATTATGGCCACAAACTTACCTAAGAAACTATAATTAATGGCTTCACCACTTTTCCCACGAGATATCCATCCTAAAAGCCTCACCAAAGTATTGGTCTCAATTTGATTTAACACATCAATCCTCACTTTTTCCAAGTTCTTGTGAACAATAAGAACAACCTCATCAATACCCAAAAACAAATATAAACAACAAAACAATCTTCCCCATTCCCAAATTTCTCTCAAAAAAACCAGAAAAAATGGACAAAAAACAAACCCCTCCTCCCATTTTTCATGCAAACCCTCGTCTCGTCGACATACGTGAAGTACCTTCAGAGGGCGAGGAGGAGGAGGAAGGAGAAGAAGAACACGCTCCGCCAAAAATGGCATCGGCGTTGCCCGATGCCATTGAGAAGCGGATGAAGAAACACAACAATCGGCTATGGCCACCGCAACCTCCGACACAACAATGGAGTTTCGGACGACAAATGTCGTTGGAGACAGGTTTGAATAGGGAATCTAAAGGGAAGGGCATTGAGAGAATGGCTCTCCCAAGGAGTGGGAGAAGCTTTGGAGGGTTTGATTCAACCATTGGTGAAGGGAAGAAAGGAGATTTTAGCATCTTTAGAACAAAGTCAAGTCTGAGTAAGCAGAATTCTGTAATGGCATCGAGAAGAGATGATAGAAATGAAATGGAATCTCAAAGAACTTATGAAAGATCTGAAGGAATGGATGAATCTGTGAATAAAAGTGTTCCTGTTGGAAGATATTTTGCTGCTCTTAGAGGCCCTGAGCTTGATCAAGTCAAGGTATGATAAGCTTTCTCTAAATAACTATCTATATTCAACTAAGATTACCTTCAAATAATCTCTTCGATTTCAGGACTCTGAGGACATTCTTCTCCCAAAAGATGAGACATGGCCATTCCTTCTTCGGTTCCCGATCGGATGCTTTGGTATCTGCCTCGGCCTCAGCAGCCAGGCCGTGCTATGGCGGGCGCTGGCGACCAGCCCCGCCACTGAGTTCCTTCACGTCTCCCTGTTCATCAACCTCGCCATTTGGCTCCTTGCCATGGCTGCTCTTTTCGCTGTTTCAACGACCTACATTCTCAAATGCATCTTCTACTTTGAAGCTGTTAAGAGAGAGTACTTCCATCCTGTTCGTGTAAACTTCTTCTTTGCTCCTTGGGTTGTCTGCATGTTCCTTGTCATCGGCGCCCCACCAGGGTGGACGTTGGAACCGCTCCATCCAGCTCTCTGGTTTGTGTTCATGGGACCTTACTTCTTGCTCGAGCTCAAGATTTACGGGCAGTGGCTGTCCGGGGGGAAGCGTCGTCTGTGTAAGGTGCCTGCGTAATTTAAGTTTGTATGCTATGCATATTTAATCTAGTCTAAATCTATTTATGTTCACAATCTTTTATTCATATTTCAGGTGGCAAACCCGTCAACGCACCTGTCGGTGGTCGGGAACTTCGTCGGGGCGATACTGGTGGCGAAATGTGGGTGGTTGGAGGCAGCAAAGTTCTTATGGTCAGTGGGGTTCGCACACTATCTTGTTGTGTTTGTGACATTGTATCAGAGGCTGCCGACGAGTGAGGCGCTGCCGAAGGAGCTGCACCCTGTTTACTCCATGTTCATTGCAGCGCCCTCCGCCGCCAGCATCGCTTGGCAGACCATTTATGTAGACTTTGATGGCTTGTCGAGAACTTGCTTCTTCATTGCTTTGTTTCTCTATATTTCCCTTGTTGTAAGGATCAACTTCTTCACTGGATTCAGGTTCCACTTCTCTTCTTTTCTTCTTTGATTCGTCCCAAAAGGTCCCCTTCTCCGGCGCCGTTTTAGTTAATAAAGAGAAATCTCTTCCCTCTCCCTCCCTCATTTTATTAACTTAAATGGAATTTTTTTACCGTATTCGAGGCGAGACTCCAGTCCCATAGGTGAAATAGATATTCTACTAGCAAGCTCTAAATTTTTTAAAGTTTCAAACTAAAATGCATCCAACACTATCTAATCTTTTGAGTTTTCTCAACTCTTTCTTGATCTATCTCATCCTTAATGTTGCACAAATTCCTAACTAAATACAAAATTTTCAATTAAAAATTTGAAACTTAATTTTATAAGTTATTGTCTGATCATTTTATAAGTTTAGTTCGCTAGGAAAAGAAGGCATTCATAGAACCTACTTTTAGAAATTTCATATGCATATTATATAAAATAAGCATATCCATAGAGAATCCAGAGAACGTACTTTTTGTAGTTTTCCCCCATGTGAACAGCCACTGTCCATCAAACCCAAGAGACTGCCTTGGATCACACCATCACTGAATGAAAAACAAAATAGACATCAGAATTTGCATTACAACAGATCAATACAATTATTATACCTGAAAACATGTGAACTTTTACAGGTTTTCAGTGGCTTGGTGGTCTTACACATTTTCAATGACAACTGCTTCAGTGGCGACCATAAAGTATGCAGAGCATGTCCCTACAGTTGTAAGTAAAGGACTGGCACTTGCCCTTTCTTTCATGTCCTCTACCATGGTGTCCCTTCTCTTTGTCTCTACTCTCCTCCATGCTTTTGTTTGGAAGACACTGTTCCCCAATGACCTGGCCATTGCTATCACAAAGAGGAGACTTATAAAGGACAGGAGACCCTTCAAAAAGGCTTATGACCTAAAACGCTGGACAAAGCAAGCTCTTACCAAGCACAACAAGGATTTTGATGCACAGAATGAACAGCATCAGACTCCTTATACAAATGTCTCAACCAGTCAGAAGAGTTCATAAATCCACATTAATTTCCCAGGAAAGTTGTGTAACATTCAGAGTACCAGTACTGTAACATTTAGACTTTGATTCATTGCAGTGTTCATAATATAGAAGACATGAGTTCCTATAATGAAAACCTCCTCAGGATCATGAGTTTCTACACTTGCTCATTGAATGAATGAACTACCAGTAATATAAATGGTTAGCAATTCAAAGAGTCTAAAGTCTAGTAAGTTTTCAATGAGGGATGCAACTGTGAAGATGAAGCTGTGTATGTATATTCTTTGTGAGTAGCGAACAATACAATTACGTAGGAGGTACACAAAGAAGCTGAAGGGGGGCAGTGATGGCTGTACATATCCGGCGAACTTGCATGTTTATTTGGATTAGGATACAAGTTGGGGGAACATAAAGAGCTGGTTAGATAAATCATAAATCTCGAAGACACCTACAACCTTTCCTGTACTATATGGACAGACTTTAAATGATTTCTATGAAGAAAAAATAGCTCGAGAACCTTTCCTGTACTGTTGTTCTCAACTATCATGTAATGATTACTACTTAAAGGCTGAAACCAAAATCAGATGCCCCAGCAGAAAGAAACCATTCTTTCAGAACACTACATACTTAGCGAACTCCCAGATTCCTGTATGGTTAAAAAAATTGTCTTAGATAATTTAAGTGGTAAGATGATTAGCAAAACTATCACAACTGATGCATACGGCATACCTCATGGTCAACGGGCTGTTGCAGGAATCAGATATGCATCCATTATTTCCCAAATAAATCTGGTTTCCCGCAAATGGAGGCGCTTCTTTCACCAATGGAGTTATCTACAACGGAATACTAATGTTTAAGACAATATAAAAACTTTATCTCTACAAGTGAAGCCATATACTGAATCTTATTGAACCCAGAAAAGCAACCTTATATTACAGTATAAAATCGAAACTGTAGGATATTGAAACGAAATTGTACAAGAGAACAAAAAAAAAAAAAAAAAAAAAAA